GGCATAGTTTCCTGGCAACTTTAGAAGCAAAGAACTTAACTGGATTAAATTTATGGAAGACATCTTGTGTTTTCTTTTCTGATGTATCAGTTATCTTTCAGAGATGCTTGTTTCTTTCAATACACCATTTTCGTGGGTTCACTCAAATTACATCCAGGAAGTTTAGGATTGCCACAGAGCAGGTTGTATGGAACTGTATTTGATTTTTTTCCCCCTCTTTTCTTTTCTTCTGCTCCACAATCCATTGAGTGTTTTCTATTTAACGTCACGCCAAGGGCAAAAGTCATTTACTTGTGTACGCAAGTACTTCCTGATATTTCTGTGAAGCTTATTCCTATGAAGCAAATTGCCTAACAAATATAATATATTGCCCGGAGGATTCACAGATTTGGTAACATTCATCTAGAATCATTTTTTTGAAACTGTAGCAATAATTGCAGCTGCATTAAGATGCTTCTCCTTCTTCCTTCTTATGTCCCTATAAGAGATTATAATTCAATAGCAAAATGCATGTTTTACATACAAAAGGCCCCAGTTCAATCCCTTACCTTTCTAATAAAAGACATTAGAGAACATTATTATGCAGCAAACTTAAATTAGTATTACCAGTTAAAATATACTGGTGGCTGTTCCATATATAAAATTAGAGATGGATTGTGTGGCTGCGGAATTCTGGAAGTGGAAGTTTACACATCTTAAAGTTGCCAAAGTTGAGAAACACTGAATCAATAGGAGGATATGTTGCAGTTGGAGAAGAGACTGATCTCAGTTTTTTAATATAATTATTATATAGTTGATTATGGCTGAATAAAAACCAGTATGGTGTAAGGATAAAGAGTTAAAGGATTGTCTTTAGTAGTCTTATTTTTGTAATAATAAAATTCTTTTTAAAAAGTTCACCTTCTATCCTTAATTTTCATCATCTTAGAAAATTATCAAAAAACCATGCATCTGTCTTCTGATCATTGGATCTTATGCATGTCCATTCAAATATAAAGTCTGATTTAATTTAACGAGGGTTAATTTACCTCAATCTTCATAAACTAAATAGGAAACATTTTACAAATCACCAGAAGTTATATTAAGTTTTTGTGTGCTCTTTATGAAAAGGTCTACTTTCCTCTTTTACTTAACAATAAATGAGGTGGTAGAAAAAAAAAATCAATTCTATAGTGTAAAATGACAGCTTTAAGGTGAAATCAAAATTTTTATTATAAAATGGCATTTACCATATTAAACATATTTTGCTTATTATATGTAGAACATATTGAAGATATATTGCTTAGCTTCCCAAGTAATTAAGAATTTCCTTTAATATCTAAACTGTTTTCTTCTCTTTCTCATACTTGAGGGTTATGGCTATACCCCATATTTAGATTAAGGGATATCATATTCTGCACAAATTCAAGGAGTACAGCAATTCAGAAATTGATTTTTATATTCATTTATATGTCCTGTATAAGAATATGCCATATCACGCCAAGGGTTAAGTTTAAAATTATGCAAGACTTCCGTGAGAGGGGTGGACTTAAGGTACCAAATTTGAAATTATATTATGATGCGGTGGTTTTAACACTAATCAGTGATTGGGTAAATTTGACAAACTCTGAGATACTTTATCTAGAGGGATGGGACTTACTTTATGGGTGGCATGCCTATTTAATATTCAATAAAAAAATGGATTGGACTTTTAAATCTCATATCTTAAGAATCTCTTTACTTAGGATTTGGAGAAAATATTATAAAAGTGATTTCAAAGTACCATTATGGGCTATACCTTGGCATGCGATAGAAGCAATAAAAAGAGGGGTTAAAATGGATATGGTGTCCTACAGACAGTTACTTAAATGGGATGGACAAAACTGGCAATTAAAATCACGGGAAGAGTTAGCACAAGAAAACTTTATTTATTCTTGGTTCCAATATAGGCAATTATTAGACAGATGGAAGATGGATTGTAAGGTGGGTTTTCTTAGAGAAGATGAAAATCTTATTAAGCAAGTGAAGGATTCAAGACAAACCCACATTAAGAGAATTTATGCGGTTTTAGTTGAATTGGATTCAGAAACGGAACTAATCAAAGATTGTATGATAAGATGGGCGCAGAATTTTGGTGAGCCAGTTTCATTGGACACCTGGGAAAAAATTTGGGTCAGAAATGTCAAATTTACACAAGCACAGAATTTAAGGGAGAATTTTTATAAAATGTTTTATAGATGGCACCTTGATCCACAAAAAATGTCTTATATGTACCCTGACGTGCAACCCAAATGTTGGAGATGTGGTTATAAGGAGGCTTCCTATTATCATATTTGGTGGTCATGCAGAGAGATAAAAGCATTTTGGATTAAAGTATGGTGGAATATCCAGAGAATTTTTAGAAGGAGGGTAAAATTTACTCCGCAATTATTTTTGTTAGGTATTGTTACAGATTGTGATACAAAGGAGGTTGTATTGATGTTAAATTTGATTACAGCCGCTAGGCTGTTAGTAGGACAATATTGGAAGAAGGAATCCTTGCCTACATTGCAGGAATGGTTTCTTAAAGTAGCTTATCTGGCGGAAATGGCAAAGATTTCGGCTTTCTTAAAGCAACAAACGCAAGAGAAGTTTCTTGCTGTTTGGGACAAATGGATAAAATTTATACAATTTAGATTGGGTATACAAAAATATTATATAGTTTTTTCATAAGTTTTATTTTTATATATATTATAGATAATCTTTTTATATATATAAATATAAAGTTCTTAATTTAATTTTTATTTTTACTTTTTAAGCCTATATTCTGCTCTGGGAAGCTCAGGGGGGGGGAAGGGAGGGGGGGGGTTTTGGGAGGGGTGGGGGGTTTTTTTTTTATATATGTATTGTTTAGTTTTATTTTTTTGTATATGTTGTCTCTTGTTTTGTATTCTTTTTTCTTTTTTGTAAAATTTATAAAACTTTTAATAAAAAAAAAAAAAAAAAGAATATGCCATATCAGAAGACATTCTATAAATCAATTTCTATCATAGCAAAACAAAGATATTCTATATGTTTATATATTAATACCAGTTTTTAAATATTTGCTAGAGTTTAAATGTTTTCAAATATTGGCAGTGTTTTGTATTGCTTTATTATACTAAATTTATTATACTTTATTTCATTGGATTGATTCCAGCTGCCCTAAATAGTTCTGTTTGGATGCAATGAGTGCTAGAGTGATGTATAAATTTTAATACCTAGTAAAATAATCTTTGTATTGATCGCTCTCGCTCTCTCTCAGTTAAAAATGATATTCTATTAATATTAAAGATTTAAAAGAAGAATATCAGGAGCAATGAGATGCTCATTTAGGATGCTACCATGACTTGATATGTCAGTGTACTAAATGTGGTTTTCTTTTTGTATTTTAAACAGAAAATTCATATGCAGGAACAATAAACTCCTTTTTATGACCCTGCAATCCCTTTTTTATGCTTTTTTTATTTTTCCCAACTCTCCCCCATACATGTCAACAAATATACCACAATATTTTATCACGTGTTAACATACATTCTTTTTACATTCTTATCTATCAGATACACTTAATAAAATAAAATAAATACATACACATAAATTTTGGTGTTGCTCGCCCATTTCCCCTTTCATTGTATCCACACTCCTATTCTTTCTTCCCTCTTCTCTACCTTCTTTTTCTCTTTCTTCTCTTTCTTCCCTACTTCCCTCTTCTTCCTCTCCTCTCTTCTTTCCTTCACCACTCCTCTCCCATTTCTCCCCACTTCTCCTCCTCTTCTCCTCCAACCTTCCTACTTCCTTCCCCCCTCCTTTACTCTCTTCTCTCTCTCCTTTCCTTTCTTCTGTCTCATTCCTCTTCAGCTACAATTCAGGGGTAATGTCTGAGCAACTTTTCTCTCTAATTTTCTCTATCTATATTATATATAATAAGATTAATTTTCTATTACGTTAATTCTTCTATTTATAGTATATACTTCTATAAATATTTATACGGCTTCCGGTTATTCAATATTGTGTTGCCTGCAATCCCTTAATTCAGGTTAGAGTCAGGCCATAATTTAATTGCCTATAGATAGTCTGATATCCCATCTTTTCTCCAAAAGTTAAAGATAGCCTACATGTTCATTGTAATGGTACGTGGAATGACCTAGGGAGACAAGGGAACAAGAGCCACAGATTATGCAATGGTCAGACAAACAATTGCTGAGTCCATGGAAGGAATGGAGGTATAGCAAACATTCAGAAGGGAGCCTCCCTTCTTTCTTGAACTGTCAAGGCAAGGCAGGAGAGATATTTTATTTATTTATTTCATATGCCACCCATCTCACTATCAATATTTATCAATATACTGTATACCTGAGATAAACTTTCAGACTTACAAGATTCTCTTAATGTAATCTTACAATAAAGGAATACTTATACCTATTATTTCTGGGTATGCTTCTTGTCTAGATTATTTCTATTTCTACCTGGCACAATCAGTGGATCTCTTGGCAGTTAAGCTCACAAGGCCTTTGCAGTAACTCAGTTTTCAAAGGTTTTTGAATGGTTAAAGCCAAGGGAGTCAACTTGTTCTCCACTGGGAAATTATGCCTATCAACTCTATGGGCATAGCTACTACAAAAGAAGCAGCAGCAGCAGGGTATCAGAGGCTCATAGAATTGGAGAAGCACCAGAAGCACCTTGCACTTTGTTCTACAGATTCTGTTTTACAGCTGAGTTTAGAGACAGTGATTGGTGTTGATAGATTGAAGATATGATGAAAGTTTTAAAGATACCACTTTTAATGTTACCACATTTACTTTGGAAGCTTGCTTTGGTTTCTGAAACCATTGCCATCTAAGTCCACTTGTTATTTAACACTTGTCTCAAGTTTTATAACTTAAGAAAATGGTTTTGTTGAAAGAGCCAAAAAGAAAAAAAAAATCTCTGAAACGTATTTATATGTTGTTATTATGTAATTTGTCTTTACTATATTCCCAGTTTTTCTCTCTCTCTATCCTCAGACTTGGATTATCACTTGCTTTTATCTTCAATTGCTCCTACTTTATCCTCTTGTTAAAGCCCAACATCCCTGTGGGAATCCGGTGACAGATGATGTAAATGAAATTGCAGTACTGGTAAGTGGTTTCTTTCCAAATTTCTCACTAAACACTGCATAAGATGAAAAGAGATATGCTTGGCAGAAACATGGAAGCTTGTCTTAATTATTTGTTTTCTGTTTATTTTTATCTTTTTAGTGTAAAAAAAAAACTAATAAAGTTCTTATTTTTAAAAAAAATGGAGAAAGAGCCCTGAGTATCATTATAAAATACATGGGTTTGTTTGAAACCGTAAAATAGCTATAGTGTTTCCCAAGGACACTTGTTTTGCCTGCCTATGAATTCGCTTCTTAAGTCTGTGGTAGGCCCATTACTAAATTCTCTTCAACTCTAAAATATAAGGAACATTTTCTATGCTTTTAATCACTAGGGGTAAATATATGTGTGTGTGCCTATCTTAAATCATCCAATCAAGACACTGAAAATAGAAATGTCTATTCATGGCATAAATTGGAACCGGAATCTGTGTTATTGAGCAAACTAGTCATTAAACAAAACACCCACATGACTGCTTTGCTTAATGACCTCAATCTCAGCACTCTGTCCATCATTAAGTGGACAGAGTCTCAAGTAAGGAGACACTGGGAGGCTCTAACAATGAAAATCCTCTGCAAGTTAGATTTTCAATGCCAAAGCAGAGAGACATTCATGTACTGCCTGAGCCAAGCCTTCCTTACATTACTTCTACCTCTCTGTTGTGGCATCTGCTTAAATCAAGCATGCAACTCCTTAGGAACAAGGGTTTTGTGCTGCCTTGAGGGGATGAGGGGTGCAACTAAAAATCCTCCCTGCTGAAATCCAAACAGAAAACATTGACTTTCTGTGGAAGCCAACATGGAAGATTGTAAATGATGACTACATGTTTGTGGGGCACTTGAGAACCTCTCATAAATGTGAATGGATTGTGAGGTGCCCACATGATGGAGGGATAGTGGTGCAATGTTTTGCAATGGTCAGAATTGCTTTAAGACCCTTTCTAAGGTCATTGTAACTTTAAACTATCAAAATGACCCGTCATAAATTGAGAACTACCCGTACAAAACTTGTCTTCTGTAATTTAGCTTCCTTCCCTTTCTGGGCCATTTCTTATAGCCAATGCCAACATTTTTTTTGCTTCATAGAAGATTGTACACTTTCATCCAAGGGTCCATAAGTGGATGGGATGAGATGGGACTGGAGAATATATTGCGATTATTATTTTCTACTAAATGCTACCTTGGGAGTTGTTGCTCTGAGAAAAGGCAGAGGAATGGAACAATGTTACAAAGCATGACTTTCAGCATGCATTATGAATGATATGCATATGCAAACAGCATATAAGAAAGTCAACATTGAACATAGGCCGTATAGATTCAGTGAAATATTGATGCAATTTCCTGTGTTTTTACAAACTGTACTTAACTCAGGTCGTACCTTATGCAAGCACAACCAGTTACTTTTTTTCTTGGCATGCTTGTCAGTCCCTTTCTTGTCAGAAAAAGACATCCAAAGATGTGATACTTTTTTTTACAGAAGTTGTTTCATTCCTGCAGCAGTCAAGACCCAACAAGCCAAAGCAGATCAACTAGTCTTAGGCTGTCACCTGCTAAAGATTTGATCCTTCCTTTCATTACATGCTTTCCTCATCCCTTCAGTTTCTAAGCAGTCCACAAATCCAAGTTTTAACAACTCCTAGCAAGCTGTCTTTCCCACCAGATAGCATAAATCACATTTTTCCTACTGCAGGAACAGTCCCTTTCCAAGTCTAATATGAATGTGCAGATCCATCAAGTAAAAATAATTAATTGATTGGAATTTTAAAAAGTTCCTTTTGCATTTTGTAGCATATAAATAATGCTAGTTTAACCAGCAACTGCTTCTTATTAGAAGGAATGGTATCTTATAAGGCTCTTCTAGAGCCTTGCCATCATTTAAGCTAAAAAAGTGGGCAGACTTCTTATGGCATTGGAGGACACAAGGAAGCATAAATATATTTTGTCATTATTAGTAAAATAATCAGTCCAGTTTGAGTTGAAAGCAGAGCATGCACTGCTATCAGCAAAAGTAGGGCAAAAATTTTTTTTTAAAAAACCTAGTAAAAATTGCAGTGGGGAAAAGATTGGAGGATTAGGAAGAGAATATGGGACTAGGAAATTCAGACATGATATTTTTACAATTTGTCATTAAATACTAGCATTATGCCTCTGAATTTTGCAAATGAAATAGAAACGGATGTCACAGCAAATATACTGCTAGTCAGTATTTACATAAGTAATTCTAATTTCATGAAATTTTTTCTGAATAAGACAGCATGTCTTTTCAAAAATCTAAATTTGTTGCAAGGCTTCAGCTATGTAATATCAGTCTCTCTCTCTCTCTCTCTCTCTTCCTCCTCCTCCTCCTCCTCCTCTTTAATAGTTATTAAAATGTTCATACTCCTTGAATTTGAAATCTTGGCTACTTAGGTTTTTTTTAAGCTGTGCATGAAAAGAGCTTAACAGGCTTTGATGCCAGTAAAATAGGTTATATACATAATACATGTCAATTCTTGTTGTGCTTCTCGATCTGGAACAGATTTAATCTTGCACTGACCTTCCTTAAAGAAATACATGGTTGCTGACATTGTGAAGCATCTAATCACTCTGAGGATACTGAATAAAGAAAACAGGAATTTTTCTTTAGTGTGGTTGATGTTGGACCTGGCTAAGGGGTCCCAAATGCTTGTGTGTTCACGTGAATCTGAATGATTCTTTTGGCCATCCCACCATCCTTTTGCCTCTCCTCCTGAAATATACATGAGGAAAGGGGTTTCTTCCAAATCTAAAAGATGGTTTTGAAGTTGCCTCAAAATCCTGGCTGTTTCCACAGCTGTGAACCATAGTTTTCTTATTTGGGAAAAAAAGAAATTTCATTTAGTGCAAGATTTCTCAAATGATTATGTGATATTATTGAGGCTGCAAGTCAAATGTGGATGGGACCCAGGACTAATTTGGACGGAATGAGTTTCAGAAAGTAAAACAATGAAATCTGGATCAAGTCATGATGTGTTTAGTGTAAAAAAGAAGGGAAAGGAAAAGCTTCCATACAATGCCTATGTTATATATCATACAATTTGTTCTTGAGTCAAAAAAGTATAATACGGAATTATTTAGGAATTAAAAACTAATGCAAGATGCCCTTTTATTTTAATATAAAATTTCTCTCTCTCTTTCCCTCTCTCCCTCGACTGGAAAGGGAGTTGATCTAAAAGCAAACATTGTGCTGAGTAGACCTAGTTTGGAACTTACATTGGTAACTTACATAATCATTGATTTACCTGAATTTACTTTAGTTCAACTAAGTCTGAATATAATGTAATATTTGATTTTGCATTAAAGTCACATGCAGATTCTGAATGTGCTTTTGATAAATTATTCTAGGTGTATCCATTTCTAAAATTAATTAAAATAGATTAATTAAAATGGAACATGAAATGATTAAGAATATCAGTACTTTTGATATCAATAGAAATTGACAAATCTTATAAAAAGTTCACAGTCCTAGGAAATGTGTATTTCAAAATAATTTTACTGTGTTTTCTTTTTGTTTGACAGGATTAAGAGATGTAAATAACTTTATCTTGCTAAATACTAGCTCTTCCCTTGAGTGATCTATTTTATTAATTAGACAAATGGGTCTAGTATAACAATTTAAATAGGAAGATATGTTACTTTGATTAGGTAATAGGTGAACTCTAGCTACTTACCTGTTAACAAGGATCTTATTAGCACAGACTGATCCTTAATTACATATTAAATTGACTCATTCTTTCTGAAAACTGTTGGACAATACCCAAGAAGCCAAACTCTTCTCTAGCATCTATTTTGAAACAAAAATCATGGCTGAAAAAAATGACATTTTAGATTGCAGATGAGCAGCCAAGAGTCTACAAGCTGCATGTAGCCCCAAAAACTCTAATGGCCTAGAAAGCCATATCAGAATAGACATAGCCATAATTTTCAGACCCATTTTCATTTTACAGAATTTTGATGTATTGTTTAAAAGTTAGAACTGTATCACTTAAAAAAGGAAGCAAAACCATTTTAGAAAGGCCCAATATAAATTAAATTAAATAAATTTCAAGGCAAACCCTCTATGGGACCTTTCTTCTAGCTCAAAATTAAAATTAAAAGAATCTGGAATGTTTGCTCCTACCAACTCTGGTGATGCCATGACATCACTGGGTCCTCATCCCCTATAACTACTAAGCAGGATATAAAAAGAAAATGTTGCTCATTCTTCTTCTAGGGAAATTGATTAGTAGAGTAGGAGTGCTTTAAGTTTTAGAACTACATACAGAAGTTATAATTTAGGATTTATAGCACTAAAGCTTGATTTGTTTTATTTTTTAAAAAAAAAATACATAATGGCTAGATTCCCACAATACATTAAGCCATAAAACATGAAGAGCCAGTGCAGTGTAGTGGTTAGAGTGTGACTGGAGAAATATAGGTTGAAGTCTACCGATAGCCACAGAAGTTCATTAGGGACCTGAGACCATTCAATCTTTCTCAGCCCAACCTACCTCCTAAGTTGGTGGTTGGAAAGAAAAAGTAAGAGGAGAGAATATTATACATGGTGTCTTTAGTTCCTGAAAAGATAAATATCTGTCTAATACAGGGGTGTCAAACTCAATTTCATTGAGGGCCTCATCAGCATTGTGGTTGCCCTTGGGGGTGGCTGGGGTGGGGGTGGCCTGATGGGTGGGTGTGGCCAGCTCAAGGTCACTTGCATCAGGGGTACCTGTGTGGGCCTGGGCAGGACCGGGGCGGATCCAAGGGTCTCTGGCAGAGAGGTGGATGGGACCAGGGTGAGTGCCAGGGCATGGTCCACTGGAGGAGGCTCACTGTCCCTTTCAGGCTGTGCGGGGGGGCCCTGGACAGTGGCACGGAGTGCCCAGAGCCCTGGGCAGCAAAAGTCAAGCACCCAGCCCGTCCCTCGAGCTCCCACATCACCAGGACCTCACAACCTTGCCTGGCCCAGCCACATTTCCTTGAGGG